AAGGAAGCTTTGAAAAACAGATGTGATGACTTTAAATCCAATTAAAAGCAAATGCTAAACTCAGTCTTAAACCATAAAAAACCTAGAATCACATTGGATTAGGTACTATCCAGAAATCAAGAAGAGAGTGACTATATTGCTACTGATCCCTAAATCATCAGAAGCAAGGTTGAAGAATATCACAAATAGGCTTTCAAAAAATGAAATACTAATTTTGAAAGTTTTAGTCCCTCCTGAAAAAAAAAATTTCAACTCAAGGAATAGATTGATTCAACATGGTACTCACCATTAACAGAAGAAATAAAAGTAGAAGAGCTTGAAGTTACTTTGCAATCCCTTTCAAATAACAAGACTACCAGCCTCTCATATATCAACTATGAAATGCTTAAACACTTAGAAGTCAAAGGAAAAAAAACTTTATGTCTTCTTTTCAACAAAGTCTTAATTACAGGCTAGATACCTAGAAAATGAAAAAGCAGTAACATCTATCCTATTCCAAAACCCAAACCTTGAAAATGTGATTTGAGTAATACAAGACCTATTGTTCTTTTAGAAACAGCTCGAAAATACTTTACCAAGATCCTTATCAACTGATTATCAATTATCTATAAGAAATATAAAATTCTAAAGAATCCAAACTTTGTCAATCTACAAGGAGAGAGTATACAGAGCTTATCCACCTGCTAAATAACATCTGTAAAGAAGCCAGAGAAAAGAAAAAGGAACTATGGATCCTTTTTTAAGATATTGCCAAGGCATATGATACAATATTCCTTTATATACTTGAAAAGGTTATAAATCGAATTTGAATTTCTACAACTATCAAGAAGCTTATAATAGATCTTTTTAAAAATAGAAGTTGTAGTATTATCCTTTCTAATAAACTCTCTAATTCAATAGTAACAGGGGATAGTATAGATCAAGATAAAACAATTTTTTCTCTTTTATGAAGAATTTTCTACAATCCACTGCTATACAAGATTCAAGACAATAATAACCTAGATTATTTTATAAAAGAAAAATGGTTATCCAACCTGAGAAAAAAGTTAAGCTCTCTTTAAGGCAGGCAGTAATTGCTTACATGGATGATACAACCTCGATTATTAAATTTAATCTTGGAAAATGCAAAAAAGTTCTATATAGCAAATGACTCTTAGATTAATGCAAGAAAGTTAATTCTCCTTACTATTAAACAAAATCCTTAAGTTCCTAGAACCATTTAAGCTGGAACAAAGAATACTATAGTTCATGAAATTAATAAGCAGATCAGACCAGATTTCTTGGTATCTGACTAGAACCAAGACAAAAGAATCAAGATATTATCAATCTAATAAAATTTGAAATTAGGATAGTAATTCAGGTAACAACTAAAAAAAAGTTGACAGAAAAATATACTTAATATATTATTAATAGGGTCTTGATTTCAAGAATAGAATATAGAATGCAACATATATATCTAAATAAAAGACATGCAATAAGCTCACAACTATGTTTAGAAAAGTATTCAAGAACAAGGCCTTAGTTTGTAGAACAATTTCAAACAGTTATATTTATAACAAAGAAATAAATAGTCTCAAAAGTATCTAGAAAATACAACTAAAAAGCTACATATCTGCACTTTTCTGTCAACTCAATAATAATGAGGCCTCTAATATTGCCACCATAATTAGACCAAAACAAAGTCAAGTTAAATATTGGAAGCCTGATAATATTTTAGAAAATCACATCAACCCTTAGAAGCTAATTAAAGAAAATTTGGTAGCTGCAATACTGGCCCTAGTGAAAAGTATATAAATTATCTTTCAAAGTTGAAGATGGAGAAAAAATTTGATTATCAAGGAGGTATTCTATCCATCAAATTAATACTATAAGATGATAGAGAATATAAAAAGGCTATTTCATCACTATGCAAGTATAAAATCATATTTCTAGATTAGCTTATTAATACTACTACAATACACTCAAAGAATAGAGAGCAATTCAAATTCTCTTTAGCAAATGCAAGGGACTAGTTCCCTTCTGGTACAAAAAAATCTATGAAAAAACAACAATAAATCAAGATCTTTTACAAAACTCTCTATATGGACTTGAATGGACAATTTACAATATGCAGACTGAAACATTCTCAACAAATCTAGATAAAAGAAAAACACACTGGATAGTCTATACTAATATTCCGACAGACACATTAAGAAAGACAATATTTATAAACAACAAATTCCATTTCATACCATATCAGCTAGCATATGACTTTGCTAGTAATTATATCTATTTCTAACCAGATAGAATAGTGTAGTCAATAGAAGTAGTTTTATTACAAGTTCACTTTCTTTAACAATTAAATAAACATAATAATTTGAGAAAAAGAAAACAAATTCTTCTGTCAGGAAATTCTATAAACTGGTAGATAAACACATATTATCAAACAGTAATTTTACCAACCATCAGACCTACAAAAGTAGAGATTCAAGTGAAAGACTGGGACATTATACTAATAGAACAAGCTATATAAACAGAAGAATATAATGATGAATTTATAAATATTTGAAATATAACAAAAAAAAACATGGTTGATCAGCTTACTTTTTACACTGGTAGCTTCTATAAAAAAGGAATAACAGATTGTAAACTTGAGATAAGTTTAGCTTGAATCTTAATAGGGGATAATAAAATGGTTAAATAGTTTTTAGTAGGAGCTTCCACTTGACCATCTGCAACCAGAGCTAAAATATTAGCTATTCTTATCATGCTGTACACTACCTCTTAAAATACAATTATTATAATTCACACTAATTGCAATATAGCAATCAAAGTATAAAAATTTATTTGCTCACAAACTAAGACATTAATGAGAAGATGGATAAAGACTACCAACTGGTCATTGTGAAATAAAATCAAAGACCTGGTGAAGAAGAAAGATCTAAATTTGGAAATCTTGAAAGTCAAAGCCCATAGAACCAACAAATTTAACAATCAAGTAGATTTATTTGTTAAACAGGCTAGGCAGGAAAATTCAATAACTTGGCATTAGCTATCAGAGCTAGGAAGAATTCTCACAATAGTCACATGGAGAGAATATACAATAGAAATTGATATCAGAGATTTCATTAAAATATTTAATAAGAAAAAAATTGAACTAGACTAAACAATACAGAAAAGGATTCAGGATCTTTGGACCCAAAACAATAAAGTCATATATTAATAACCTTTTGAAATCAATTGAATCTAATCAATACTTTCAATACCTCTTTCAAGGTCAATAAAGACAAAAGCTTCCTAAGTAACCTAATTCACAATAAACTTTCAGTTCTATAGATACTTAAGAAAAGAAAATCAGATGTATACACTATAATCACTTGTTCAGTATGTGAACTTCAAGAAGAGACATTAAGATATTTCTTTGAATACTCAGTCACTAGAAAAACCAGTTAAAATATATGACAGAAAGTAAACGAAAAGATTTATAAATACATCAGTAAAGAAGTTAAAGATAAAGAAGAAGCCCAACTTGTAATAAATGACTGAATAAACAAATAGTTTAAAGAGATTCAAAAATCTGACAGGGGCCTTTTCAATACTATCTGTGGATATATAGAAGAAGATAAGATCATTTTCTTAAAAAAATATCTTAAAGAGTAACTCAAGATTCTACCTGCAATTATACAGAATATAATTGACAAGTTTTGTCAAAAGATGCAAGTAAATTTCAAAAAGAAGATCTGAAATAATCATTGTATCAAAGTTATAAAATGGAAAAAGAAGCAGAAGATTACTAGAAAAGATAAAAGAAATAAAAGGCACAAACACAAATCTAATATATAAACTGGACAGGATTAAGAAGCAGTGATATTACTTCTGGAGAATCTGAACCTGGAGAGTACTAAAGAAAAAGAAGGAAAGAAGTACACAGTGATTATTAAGAATTGGGTTTGTCATAGAATCAAATAGTTTGATTTTTAACTATAGATAGAACTTAGAATAATCTATAGTAATAACCTGTAGGCAATAATTTTATTGATTAGAGGAGTTATTCAAATTAGTAAAGAAGCAAAATATTATTTCCTAGGTTGCATTTAAAGAAATAATTTTTTGACAATGAGTGAGTTAGTATGTGAAAGTCATAACAATTTGTAAATATTTAACATATATACAATAAAGATATGTTATATTAATTGGACTACGGGTTAAAAAATATATATACAGTATATATATATATTAAATCTTTTATTTTTTATATTTTTTTGAAAAATTTTTTATATACAGTATAATTTATAAATTTTAATATTGTTAAAAAAATTTTTTTCTTTATTAAACTTTTATATTTAAATAATTTTGATTGATTATTATTATAAATTATATAATAATTAATAAAAAAAATAAAAATATTTAATAATAATAAAACTTTAGAAATTATTTTAAAAAAATATAAGAAATAGGACAAATATTAAGATATAATATATTGTATGCAAATTTTATAATTTTGAATTGTATAATTAAATATTTAAAAATTGACAAATTTTAAATTTATAATAAAAATATAATAAATAAACTTAACCTTTTGAAAGCAATTTTAACTAGTCTAATAGAAGGTTTTTAAAAAAAAACTTATTTAAAATGATAATAATTTTCTTTTTGATTTTTTTTTATCAAAATAATCAATTTATTAAAATTTTTTTCTTCTAAATAATTTGAATTATTTATTAATCTATAAATTTCTTATTTTATCAATACTATAAAGGTTCTTATTTAATTATCTTTCAAAGGCATGCAACCAGTTTTAGAAATCTATTCTTTTATTATCTTGGTAACATAAAATGTCAAGAATAATCCTATCCAATTTCGAATGGTTAACTATATCAATCTTTGCATAGATCGATTTTCAGAATAGATATTTACTTAAAGTATGAAGATAAAAGATAAAAATTTAATTGGCCGAATAGAAAGCACGTGAAAAGTTAAAATTTTCGATCCATAGATCGATTTCATCTTTACTGTGTGCCATGGCCTCAGCAAAAATTCTTGTTCCAAGTCGTTTGACGTTCGCTACCTCTTCAAGAGGTGTATTCCCTTCTTTACTCGTTCACCAGAGGCATAAGAAAACCATTGCTGGTAAGAGATTGCAAAGCGTTTTTCTTTCATTATGATTTGGAAGCTAGAGATACCTTGACACTTTTTTTGGCAAATTTATCCTCACCGCAATGGTATGCACGAAAAAATAAACGCAAGCGAACAATAGGTTTATCCATTCAAGCTTATTCATATATTCGCGAAAAGTATGTCATCCACTTCAAAAATCGCCCATACAATTGGCCATGTGTTCTTTGCATTCTTCCGGGAAAGGCCCTTTCTCCCTGCCCAAGGAACTGCGACTCCTTCGTAATGCACAAGTTTCCAAAGAACCAATAGGTATACCCGAGAGAGAACCCACCAAACACATTGCTGCACAATTCGAAAAAGAGGAGACAAATAATGAAAAAGCAGTAGTTAAAAAAAAACCATTGGTTACTCGAATAAAAGACGAATTGATTCATTATTGGCATGGAACCAAGCTTTTTGGCTTGGAAATAAAAATTTCCACAAAGCTTTTATACAAGCTTCTAAAAGGTCAAAAGTTGACCCGACGTGAACAACGACAGGTGTGACCCTTACATTCGTTATCTACATAACTAGTTCTATTAAAGACGGTTAATCCATTTAATTTAGCTTAAACGGACCACCCAAGATTTGGTTCGGCTTGTTCCATTTGCAGTTTTTATAATTGTACCTTTTATGGAACTTTTATTACCAGTGGCTCTCAAATTGTTCCCAAATATGCTACCAAGCACTTTCGAGGATAAATACGCAAAAGTAAATTGTCAGACACTATGGCACAAAATGTTATAGCGGTGTTGTAACTAATAAGGATTAAAAATTTTAGGAAGAAAAAAAAAGAAAGTTGCTCAAAGTACGTTTGGAGATGGCAAAATTTTTACAAGAGACAATTGCTGAAACCGCAATAACGGGAAAGGATCGCGCTGATGCTGCTAAAGAATTTTTAGAATTCTTTCGCATGGTATATTCACCTAAAGTTGGTTTTGAAATGCTGAATTGATTTATTGATGATAGTTTTTCATAGATTCGTTCGACCGGGGAACAGGCTAATACGGAAGATCTTATTCGCGTGGCCAAAGTTTTTGAAGATGAATTGACTTTAGACAATTTATCTCGTCCTCAGTTGGTTAGCATGTGTCGTTATATGAACATCAATGCTTTTGGAACGGATAACTATTTAAGATATCAGATCAGGAATAAGATGGGAGCTATCGAAGAAGACGATAAGGTATTTATGCTGTTTTAAATTTGTTTTTTATCAATAAGATTACTGATAGTCAAACATTCAGATGATTATGGCTGAAGGAGTTGATTCACTTACTGTCCCTGAACTTCAACAAGCTTGCCAGTCACGTGGAATTCGTACAATCGGGGTATCACCATCTCGTTTGCGCAGTGAACTGAATCAATGGCTTGACCTTCATCTAAATTATAAAGTACCTTCCACTCTTCTGATTCTCTCGCGAGCATTCAGTTTTTCGGATCGCTCTGAACTTATTGACCACACTGAAGCCCTTCACGCTACATTATCCAGTTTACCTGACAATCTTGTAAGTTCTAATTTCATGTTCAAATTTTCGATTTTAGCACGGCGGTTGACATGTTACTTGTTTTCAGGTTAACGAAACCGAGTTGCAAGTTATGGAGGACGAAGGTACAGCCACATACAAACAGAAGCTTGATGTCTTGGAAGAACAAGAAGAGTTAATTGCGGAAGAAAAAGCTCAAGAAGAGGTCTGGATACGCAAACTCTTAATAATGATAATAGTATCGTTAACAAAATATTTCTATTTATTACCTCAATATAGAAAGAAGCCGCTCGACGAGCAAAAAAGGAGGAAGAGGCCGCTAAGGAGGCAGCTTTAGCTGAAAAGGCTCCTCGTGATGCCAAGGTAGCATTATGATTATTGCCTATTGACTTGTCCTTATGGAATGTTTATGGTAAATTGCTTTTATAGGAGGCAGCCGAAAGTGATGTGCGCATGACTGAACAACAACTCCAAGAATTACGTGCGGCGTTGACCATTCTTTCTTCAAAATCAGCTGTGCTAGAAGAAAGAGAAGCTTTAAATGAAATTAAGGAGGACCGAGAAGAATATAAAGAGGTAATCGCTATTATAATTTATATTAGATGCACTTACAAACTTTTTAATAAATAACTTTTGTTGTCAAATTAGGATATACAAGAACTAAAGGATACTGGTAAACACACGGAGTCACCAGTGTCACATCGTCTTGGAACGCGTTTGGAAAAAATGATTCAAAAAATTGACAAAGAATTGGAACAATATGACAGTGAAGTGGGTTCAAAGCTAAATATAATTAAGACTAATGAAAGTGGGCAAATTACTGTTAGTGATCTAGAAGAAGCTTTAAGAATTATCAAACATACACCAGGGGATAATGAAACAATTAAAAAAATTGTTACAAAATTGGACGTAGATGGTGATGGATTGGTGTTCTTGGATCATATTATTGAACTATGTACAGAAGGTGAAGGCATAGGTGTGTTGATGGAGAAAGAAACTGATCATGAAAAAGAAGAAAAGGTGAAAAAGCCAAAAAAGGAAGATATAGTAGTGCAAAGCTAATCAAACCAGTAAATCTGTCAGTGTTTATTTTTTCGTTAGTGTGAATGTTATGTCATTATTTTGTTTTGCATAAAACTCGATTATATGGAGTACAAGTCACGTGTTATAGTCTCGATTACAAATTGCGTACACAAGATACACAGATGCATGCCCCGTTATGTCCAGTATTCGTAGAGCCCGTAAACCTCCACAAGAGGAAGAAGACGCTTCCAAGTTAAAATTCGGCGAAGGTTTGCTGCAACTTCCTAACAGAGCTTTCGAAAATGCGGTTCTAAGATTCAAAAAAATAAACTCGTAAACTTTAGACTTTGAGGCTGAAGAATTTCTGTTCATATCTGAAGTTGCACTGTTACTTGAGAAGACACCAGAAACACAAAAAAACACGAGGTGATGTTTCTTTTTAGAAAAAAAAGAACAAATAGAAAACATATTTTTGATCCTCACTTTTATCACATGTTCGAACTATAGTGTATATCAAAAAACTGCCGAATATGTTAATTTATTTACAAAATTTCATAACGAAGAATCTGTACGAGAGCTTCGAAAGTAAGAAAAATTCGTCATAGGTTTTTCTTGAGAATCTCTAATTAAATTTGATCAATTCCATCTAGAACACTGTTGAGATACAAGCTTCACAAATACGAGCTGGTTCAATTAGCAAATCTTTGTTGCGAAGATGTTGAAGAGGCGAAATCTTTGATTCCTAGGTATGCCATAAACCATATGCATAGTCCTATTTTTTTTTTCTTTAAAAAAAAAAAATAATACTTAGACGTGTCTTTTATTGAATGAAATAGTTTATGCGAAAAATCGGAGGATACTATACGTTCTATACTTGATGATATTGGACAACTTAAAAAATTCCAGACATGAGAGATCATTGCTAAATTTCGTAGTGAATAGATAAAGTACAAAAGATGCAAGAGTATATTATTTTGTTGGCATTGTAATAAATTTTGCAAAAATCATTTATAAGATTAAATTATATAATTATTTGAGTATATATTGTATTTAAAAGTTAAGACTTTTTTTTATTAAAATACAAAGTCAATATTTTCCATTATACTGTATATTTTTTTTTGTTAATTATTTCTAGTAATTAAAAAAATATTTTTTTCTAATAGTAAAAAAGCTTTAAAAGAAAAAAAAACCAATAGTAAAATATTTCAAGATCTTTATTATCTTTGAAGTAAGTTATAAAAAAAAGTTTTTTTATAATAAAAAAATCCATTTTTTTTTCTTATTAATTGGTTTGATCTTTTTAAAAATTTTGATTATTTTAATTTAATTTGAAATTTTTAAATAATACAAATCTTATTAAAAATAATTAATCAATATATAAAATATATTAATAAAAGAAAATTAATAAGTTTTTATTGATTATATTTATACATATAATAGAATTGTTGATTTTACTATATATAGCAATTCTATTTTAATTTTATTAAAAAATTTTTTTAAATCTAATAAAATCATTATTTTATTAAAACTTTTTAAAATAATAGAAAAAATTTTTTTTTAAATTATATATTTAACTATTCTAATAAATAATATATACAATAGAAAAACTCTTAAAAAATATTTCACCTTATAGTTAGATTACCTTTTAAAAAAACTAAAAAATTAATGTAAAAATGACTAATATTAAAACAAATTTCAAATTTAATAAATATTAAAAAGCTACTAAACAAAAATTTAATTTTTTTTCTATTAACTATTGATTAAGAATTGATACCAAGAAAAAAATTAACATCTACAAATTATCTATTAAAGTATTATATTTTTTTATCTTTTAAAAAAAAAATATAACTTCTTCTATTATTTCTTCATCATAAAATAAAAAAAAAATAGTTTTAAAGATCAACTTTCTTTTATATGAAAGTTGGTTAGAAAATTATTTATTCAAAGATTTGATAAAATCTATAGACAAAAAATATCTTAAAACTTGAAATTAAATCGATAATTTAATTATAAAGATAATTTTAACTTTAAATCTTTAAATATTAACTATTTATTTAAGAAAATATAACTCTTTTCAAAAGTAAGCTACTATAAGTCTTTAGAAATTTTTTATTCTGATAATTATTTTTAACCAATATTTTTATTGTAAGTAAAAATAATAAGTATTACTGTTAACCTATAGACTATTTTGAAAGATAAGTTATATTAATATTTTAATAAAGAGAGATCTTTAGTTTATGGTTTTTTTTATAAACTATAAATTAAATTAAAAACCTGCCGATTGAAAAAAAATCTCTTGTTTATCTTATTTATTTTTATATATATAAAACAAATCTTTGTTTATTTATATAAACTAAAGAATCCCATTTAACTATTAATAATAGATAACTTCAATATATTAATAATTTATCAAAAAATTAAAAAAAACTCTTTTTGCTAATCTTCAGTTTTTCTTTTTTTTTAATAATTTTCTTGAAAAACAAAAAAAGTCAGCTATAATACAAAGAAAAACTTTTAATAAAATCAACAAAACAACAAGAAATAACTATACAGGACTAGTTCTATATCTAATCTTTCAGCAACAAGAAGTAGAAAAGTAATAAGCACACTTTAGTCATATTTTATAGATTTTCTTTCTTTATAGAGAAAAGAAAAATTCAAAAAAACTGATTCATAATAAGCTCTTTAAGACCCAATCTCAACTTCTCAAACTCTTAACCAGGTCAGTATAGGTTAACACCTTTTTTGATACCAAGAGAAGTCCTATAAACAATAGGTTAAACCAATAAATCAGTTTAGACTCAAGATTTACAACACCTAGAAGAATGATTAAGTTTCTTTTATTAAACAATAAAAAGTATCAAAACATTATAATGATAATACATAATAATCATTATGTTATACAAAATATAAACATGTTATTCAAAAATACAATAACTTATTTATATATCAGATAAATAATCTGATCAGAACATGATTAAATCCTTAATTTCATGTATTTTAACCAAACTGCTTTGGTAAATAATGCTGAACAATTGGAATTAAAAGTAAACAATAATGCAAGTCCAATCAAAGTAAACAATAATATATATCTGATCAAAATACAATACTATACAAAAGTAAACAATAATATACAGTACATCTGATCAAAGTAAACAAAAACATACATCTGATCAAAACACAATACTATACAAAAGTAAACAACATATTTTTTTGTGACACATGATTCAATATAACTATGAAAAAATATAAGTTAATATAAATTATAAAGAAAAGTGAAATATATATTATAGATACACTAGTTTAACTATCAAACAAATATGATTAACAATAAACATTATGGATTATATAAACTATTTATAGTACAATATTTATTATAGATAATATTTCAAATAAGGCCCTAGAATCAAGCAAATACTCAATCCTAGATAGTATCATCACTAGAATTCTAAATATTGATCAAACCACTTTTATTAGGGCCATAGTTTTCAAATAACATATTCTCTACTTATGGATTCAAGTGCAAGGCAAAAAAGAAGACCTTTTAGCTTTCTTCCTAAAGAACAAGTACCTTGATATAATAAACTAGGAAGAAAAATCACAACAAGCTTCTTATACCTCTCCAAAAAAGCAATCAGTAATAACAAATCTTTATGTAATCAGATATCTTTCAGAAAGAAATAAATATGTAAATTCAATCAACAATAATAATAGAAATTCTTTCCAATATTAAAATTGAAATAGAAGAAAAGGAAATAGAAAATCAGGTCAAAATAGAAGAAATTACTGAAAAAATTAAAGAGGATAATATTGTAGAATAGTTTGTATATTCTACAAAAAACAGGTCAAAAACATCTAACCTAAATCTATTTCATATCAAAAAAGATAATAAATATAAAATGGATATATTTATGGCCAAACTTTCAGTAGAATCAAAACATGAATAAGTGATATATTTCCAAAATATATTGGAACTACCAAAAGACTTTAAGCCTTTCAAAAAAAGTTTCACAATGGCAATGTCTAGATAACTTTCTGTTATAAAAAAGAAGAAAATACTTTGCAGTGTCTAGAAAAAGCTAACAAAAAAGAAAGTCAAAACTTTATAGTCATATCTCTAGAGACAAAAAAATAGATAAATGTCTCATACTCTATATATAAGAAAATCTATTAGCAAAAGAAAAGGAGAACAAGAGATCTTTAATCGAAGTCACTTAAAATATTAGATCAAATCTATCTTTTAAAGATATAGAGAAACAACAAATATTTATATTTACAATTATTTGAGATTAAAAAGAAGAATTAAAGCTCAAATAATACTACACTAGCAATATAATAACATAAAAGAAGAATAGATGATCCATATTAATAAAAAAACAATTAGAGCCATCTTTACTTAATATAAGTCAGATAATAATGAAATTAATAACATTATTAAATAACAAAACTTTTAATCCTTAAGATTGTATAAAATATATAATACCATAACTAGTCTGATTGCACAAGCAATTAAACATACTAAAGCAAAGGTATACTATATATCTAAAAATTTTCATGTACTCAAAAGAAGAGGATACATAATAATATGTTTTATATCAGTTCAAGACCTAGCAAGGATATTGAAGTAACATATTTTTATCCATGAATACAAACTAATATGAAGTGTCAAGAAATATTTTATCAAAAAAATAGAAGTCTTAAAAGAGTAGCTCTATAAAACAGAAGTCTTTGAACTAGAGAGTGATTAAAGCAATGATGAATCTAATCAACAAAAAAAGAACAAACAGAAGTAATAAAAAGCTCAAATAGAGATCCAGAGATTTAGAAGAGATGAGCTTTTATAATGATATTAATAGTTCCAACAAGTCAACTAAAAACTATCTAAGCAAGGTTGGCTAATAAGAGGTCAAAGAAATATAAGACAAACTTATAACAATGAACCAAAATAATAAAAAAATGGGACATTTAGATATCCAGTTATAGGAAACAACAAAGAATCAATAGGTAATCAACAATAACAGAAAGTTTCATGAAGAGAAAATATAGAATATAAGATAGTAGAAGATAGATAGGACTCCTTAAATCTTATTTTAGCAAACTTAAAAAGGCTAAACAGTAGAATTTCTAGACTAGAAGGGAAAACAACTCCTAATAAATGAATAAGAAAGAATAGAAGAAATGCAAATCACTTCTAGAAACATTAGTTTTTTAGGATAACAACAAGAAGGACTGGTTTGATTCTCCTGCAACAAACATTCTAAACAAGAGCAAGGGTGATAAATAGAACAAGAAAAAATAATTTAACAGCAAAATAATTATGATATTGATATATTTCTTCAAATAGAAAAAATGGAGTTTCTTAAGAAAGTAAAAGATAAAAGTATATCAAAAAAGAATAATGATAATAATATTTATAAGAAAGTAATAAGA